TATATATATATATATGTATATATATATGTATATATATATATATATATGTATATATATATATATATATATATATATATATACAAAACGGTACCGCTTTACAATAAGGCTCCCCTCATAGATGGCTAATAAATCATTTCTAGATAAGTTATTCATTCCTCTATAAATACTTTAGAAATCATTAATAACTGTGTTAATTAAGGTGACAGACAAAAATGACCAGTTTCTTGCCATATATTGAGCCAAATCTGTTCTGCTACATATTTGTGGACAGATTTGACTCAATGTTTGTCAAGAAACTGGTCCGTTTTGTCTCTGTCACTCTTAATTAATGCATAATAAGCAGTTATTAATGATTTATAAAGCGTTTATGGGGGAATTAACAACGTATCTATAAACTATTTATTAGCCATCTATATGGGGAGCCTTGTGGTACATATAACTTTCTGATTTAATGTTTAGTTCATGTGATATAATAACCCATGTTTTAAAAAACGATGCAGATAGCAGCAGTTTTTTGTTGAAGATTTGCACACAGTCAACACAGGATGTTCTGTTTCCCCAACTGCCTCGTCCAAAATGAGGAGAGCTTTAACTTTTACATAATGTGATTTTTAAAAAATCAAAACTTTAAAGGCTGTTCTCATTCCCTCCATTTATTTCCAGTGTTTAATCTGCTTCTTTCTTTTCAAACTGGAATTAAACTGTTTACACGTCAACGTAGCACTGACATCCCGCTCTGTCCTTGTCGACTTTTTTTGTTTTGTTTGTTTTTCCACCTCGGTAAAGAGAGGTTCATCATTTTTAAAATGCTCGGTTAAAAAAATTAAAGTCATAAAACATGTATTATTTAATGATCAACATGTATAATATCCAGGAAGTGTACTTCATCTCGCTCATATGTAAAGTTTTCGTGTTTATCTGTGTTTCTGTGCTCCTCCTCCTAAACTCTGGTCAGGAGATTGAGTCTAACGCACCTGTTGGCCTTCTGCGGGCTCCTTTCATCAAATGATTTTGTTTTTCTCCTAAGGGACAAACAGACCTGACAACAGTGAGTGAAATTGGCATTGTGATTGTACATTTTGTTTATTTGAAGAATAAAATTGGTATTTTGTAACTTACATTTTCCCTTTCGATGGCTTTTCATTATTTCTTATCAAAAAGTGACAATTTTATTCATTTAGAACGTAAAGACACCAAATGTCATTTGTTAAATAAGATTTAGTCACATGTCAAATATTAAAACTGTAAAATTCTATATTCAAATTTAATTTTTACTAAGCTTTTTGCTCAATTGTCGAGGGAGGGGCCAATGGGAGCAAAGTGGACGCTGCCAACTTAAAACAACTTAAATCGTTTTCCAACAGTTAATACAAACAGAAACTTTTAAAACTTTAAAATGTCAATTTTGAATTACAGATTTATTTGCATTTAATATTTTGGGTTATTTAGGAGCATAAACAGCAGCAGCAGCTAGCTATAGCCCAGGGCTATTCAACTAAACTGCTCAGGGGCCACAGTTACTGA